CAACGAGCAGTGGAAAGGCCTTGCAGGAATAATATCATATAAAAAGTTTTTCCAAAACACACAGTAATTATATTTTCCAGATATCATTAGGAGTTAATTATATATAATTTCCAATGTAGTAAAAAAGAAAAAAAAGGAAAAAAAGATTGTTCGTCCAACCCTTCTGCTGTCATTGCAAACCACTAATGCGCCTACACATACAACAACGAGCAGTGGAAGGCCTTGCAGCAATAATATCATATAAACAGTTTTTCCAAAACACACAGTAATTATATTTTCCCCCCAAAAAAAAACATTAGCTCTCATTAAAAAAAATTTCTTTTTCAAATGCAGCAAATAAAAAAAAAGGAAAAACGAACTGATGATTCCGATGCATGTGCAGTCAAAGAGAAGTCCAGAGCAAAACAGCTTACATCTGTGGAAATGTGTGGAGGTCACGGGACCACAAGAGCAACAGCAGCAACACACACACACACACTAGAAGTGTAAGAGGAGCAATGTATGAGGACGCGATGCTGCTGTCAATGCCCTTATCCTCCATGGCACGCGCATGATTCAGCACCTGTCTCACCTCATCGTCAGTTAAACCCATCATCCTCCGGTGCTTCCTCCTCCTCTTTCTTCTCTTCATGCTCTTGGTGCCCCTCATGGGTTTCTGCTGTATTACTCAGAGACTCCGTCTGTACATTGCTCGCAGTACTGGTGCTCCCCTCAGTCGACCCCACCGGTGTTGCAGCAGCTGAGAGATTTTTGACGGTGCTGGCAGAATGAGGGTTTCTTGGCTTTGGCTTACTTTGTGCAGACATCGGCGTACTTGGGACACAAGATCCTTCCATCATCAAACACTGACCCGTTAATATTGTCAATGGAATCCCCTTCGGGGCACTCGTACCAGTTCTTGTTACCCTTATACCGCACCTTCAAGGTGCCGTTCTCACACTTTACCTCTGCACAAATCCCTTTGACATTACTCATAACGCCTTTGTTACGCAGTCGCACAAAATCCACCTTTAGGCATCGTGACGTACTGCTCACAATACTGCCAGGCATTTCTCTTTCATAACCAAATTCACAGGATGTTTCAAAAGTGGGTTCAATGGCGGGGCAGAAATCCATCCAATCCGAGTATGCTGAACCACGGGGATAACGAGGAAAGTAATTAAACTCACTTTGAACATAATCCCAGGGCAGGAATTGCAACGAGCATTTCCCAAGAGCTGTGCGATCAGTAGTGCAATGGAGGTCATAAGATTCATCGACGCAGAACATATCGGGAAATCTGGAAATACCCCATTCCACGCACTTCCCTTTAATGAATCCACAACCGGCTTTCCGGCCCCATGACATCGTTTCTGCTCTGCTGAAATCAGCCTTGTAGAATGGCATAGAATCAAAAACAGCAAGTGTCAGGTTAGTGTAGTACATGCCGGAGGGCCTTTCAAGGTCTGTACTCATCAATTCATCCTTTGCGAAGTGTCGCTTAATGTGTGGGTAAAATACATAGTTTTCGAAAAGGTGCCCTTTATCGCGACCCTCCAACTCCATGGTACTGATATCTGGACACCCATAATGCTCTCGCACCTTTTCCTTCACAATATTCGACTCCAGAACCGCGATAACCCAGCCGAGGTGGAGTGGAATCTCCCTCATCAAGGAATGCTCTTTGAACACATCAAGGTCAAAGCCCAGTCCATGTCCAATATCATGTGCAGCCAAACGAAAGTAATACCTCGTGGGCATAAATTCTTTCGTATTGACCTTTATCAAGGCAGATGTCGGACGCTTTTTGTCATCTTTAGTGCAAATCTTGGGATGTTCGCGCGTTACCGTAGGACCCACAAACAGTGCGAAATCAACATTTGGGAAACCCTTTTGGAGATAGTCAAGACGAGCCACGGCATTTGGACAGTTCTTTTTAAAGTCTTTTCCACCGTTTTTATCCAAAAACAACCTTCCCTTTACACGTTTTACGCGGAGACGATCACTGTGCATCTTGGCACCCTCAGCAACAATGTCATTTAGCATTTGCACCTTTTCTGGTGTTATTCGGTATCCTCCGGAGCAATATGAGTGTATAGAACGACCAAAAGTCGGTGCACGCATGTTGGCACAGGATTTAATCCATACGGACACACCTCCTGGATACACACCAATACGAATGGGTTCCCAGCCGTCCTCACTCTTCGTATCCTCCACAGCGACGGTGTACGCGTCCCAGGCCCCCTGTCCTTTCTCCGGCAGGGGCTTCACAACAGCAGCAGCAGCGCACCCGTAGGCACAGCAGAGGAGGAACAGCAGTAGTGCAGAGCACAGTAACTGA